AATGGCTCTTGTCTCCTATTTCATCTCTGTATTTAGAGATCTCATCACCTACCAGACCTTGAGGTTAATATCCTTATTGTTCTCTACTGTGTACCCAGCACCTGGCATAGTGCTTACATAATAGGCATTTAGTATGTATTTCTTGGGTGAATTCTAATTGTGAATTTTATAATCATTGTCTTTCAGAGGTTATTTTAGTCTTTGTGCCACAAGTCCTCTTTCATTCCATTTCTTTTGCAGTTTCTTTTTCTTCATGTGTTTTCCTTATTGATTATTGGTATTTTTCTTGAAGGTGTTTTGATATTGCCTAGGATATTTTGATAAATTCATTTATTCAGTAAATATTTGTTGAGCACCTTCTCTGTGCCAGGCACTTTAGATAGAGCAGTGAGCAAGAAAGATTAAAATCCCTGCTATGTGAGTTTTACATTCTAGTGGGAGCTTGCATTTATAAGAAGGAAGCTTTCTGCTGTGTTGTTCACTTTGTTATCTGCCCAGAGTGCTTATGACCTTCCAATGGCCCTTGAGCTTTCTCTCTGCGGGTACTATGATTCATTTTATCATACACCACACACATACACACTGAATCCCAAGGCCGTTGCATTAGTCTGAAAGATAAGAGCCTACACCAAGACTGAATAGAGGGATTTACGGGAAGGAAGGAATTTAGGATGAACCTTCAAGTGTCTGACTTGTGCAGTTGGCTGCATGAAGATGCTCCTACCTGTAGGAGGAAATACTGGCCATTAGGGCCAACGAGAAGGGAAGGTAGTGACTTAAGTTTCGAATGTGTTCACTTGAAGAATCTGTACTTTTGCTGACAAGTCCAAAAGGCAATTGGGTTATATGGATTTGGACCTTAGAAGGAAGGTCTGGGCTAGAGAAATACCGGTAGCCAATGGCATATATAAAAAATAGTTGAAACCTTGGACACAGGCACAATTACCAGCAGAGGCTTCATTTTAAATAAAACAGATCCACACAGTGGCCCTGGAGAAGGCAGCATGTGTGGCAGCCAGATGAGATGAGCCCCCAAAAGGAGAGTAGGAAGGAGTAGCTATTAGATCTCAGACCAAGAGAAGAAACCAGCTGACTAGTGAGCCCTCCATCAGTGAAGCAAATATAGATACCTCGGTAAAAGATCGCAAATGCTGTCATTCAGGACAATTGTTGATTTGAAAAGATCTTATTTTTATTAAAAATTGTGATAATTTTTTAAATTACCTAAAACTGGTGATCTGTGTATGCCCCGGGTGCCCTTTAAATATTAAGACTTCATAAATCTTTAGACTTGACCTCCAGAAGTGAAAAGAGCAGTGTCGTGGAAGCGTGCATACATAGTGTAGTCAGATGGCGTAGCCTCAGAGACGTCATAAGGGCGAACGATGCTGTGGAAGCAGCGGCAGGATCCAGCAGCAGCCCTCTCTGCTCTGGGCCCGTGGAACGTGGAGGCATGCTAGAATTCAGCAGCTCCCTCTTAGTGACTGTAAAGGAAGCACTGTGGTCAGGGCAGGGCACCTTTCAGTTAAGGCGAGTGGGTGGAGGACACATCCTTCCAAGTAGTTGGAGGTGGATGGCAGCTGGTCCCAAAGAGGCTAGTAGAAAAGGATACTTGACTTGGAGTTGGAGAGAAGCCGGAAAAGGCACAGATATGTTTACAGGATGGATAAGCAGAGAAATCGGTGTTTGTGATGCTGATAAAGAATGACAGAAATGAGAGGCATTACATTAGCTGGTTTCCAGATCGCACGTTGGATGCTAAAGCTGATGTAAGCCTCCAAGTGCTTGGAGGCTGGGACTGTGGCCTGCATTTGTCCCACAGTGGTTCTGGGAGGGGAGAAAGTGAAGCAGGACCTCAGCCCTAAGGAGCGTCATTACTGCCTGCTGTGTTGCTTTGCACCTGGGAAATTGGCATGAGTGGAGGAATCTCAGAAAGTACAATCCTTGCCGTGGTGAAAGGACAGCCAATACAAGAGCACTTGGGATCCGATGGCAGGCTGAAAGGCAAAGGCCATGGTGGAGAAGGAAAGCCAGTGGCAATCTCCTGCCCAGAACAGCGCTAAGAACCTCCCAGGCTTCAGGAGGGGAGGGAGAGCAGTGTCTGTGTGAGCTGCATCGCCCTCATGTGTCTGTGGATCTGGTCTGCTTCCTCATGTTTGGTTCTGTTGCCATTTCTGTATTAATTTTTCATGCCTTATTTCAAACAGCATCTGACTCATATTAGGATCATTGTGTAGCAGCTGGGTGCCATTTTCATTGCAGCATCTGCACATTTATCTTTGAAATGTTTATAGTCAAGATATAGTCAAGAGGCTGATAGCCAGAATGTGTTCAAGGATAAATGGTTTACCTTAATAGCAGACAAAAAGAAAAAAAATGCAAATGATAAATACCAGGGCAGGGGTAGGATTGAAATAATTGGTGGTGAGCCCTCTCCCACCAAATTTAAGGATTCAGCCAGATTTGTGTTTACCTTTCCAAAATTGTGATCATTTGAAATAAGAATTCATACAACTGAGAAATAAATGCAGTGGTAGCTACTTTTGTGGTTCGGAGCCAGTGAAATGTCTTCCCTCAGTGCGGAGAGTAATATCTCATGCTTTAAGTGGTGCAGGAGAAGGAGCAAGAAAGAGCAGAGGGAACCATTACATCCTTCGCTTCAAAGGTGCATCCAGAATTGGAACCAGGACTGTTGATTGCTTTAGACACATTTGATTCTAACATCTAGAGCTTCATTTGTGTAGGCAAGGACTTGGGAGAACTGAGGAGACAAACAAGCATGTGCGGCGGAATATTCTGCCCCAGACCTCGAGCTCAGTCGATATAAATTGTGGGTGTCTTAAACTATTTTCTAATTTCCTTAAACTCGGGAGGAACTTAGGTCTTTACATTCCAAGCAGTACTTTTTCCTTCCTGGCTATTCTGGACTAGAGAATAGTGAAAAATGAGTTCAGTGATTTCTACTATTGCCCATTTCGTTTTTCCAAAAAGCCCATGCAGCATCCCGAATGAAGAATTAAAACAATGGATGATTCCCTGAGGTCAATTTATGTTATAAAGCCAATTTTGCATATGGAACAAAATATTAGAATTAAATTATTTTTGTCCCCTCTGCTGCCATGACTGCCAAAAAAGAAACTGTTTTGGAGGAATGTGTGGGTGCGAGGAAGAACAGTGATGCTGTTATTAATATGTAAATGACCATTCTACACTGAGCAAGAAAGCACGCCAGACGTTGCTGTTAATTTACCTAGCTGCTATCTAAAATCTTGTTAGATTAGCAGCTGCACCTGAGGAGAATCTATATCTGATTTATTCTGCTAGTAAAATCCTCCCATATCCCTTCATAAGTGAATTAGCGCCAGCTACCTGAAGGCTGCTAGGGCATGGATTTCATTTCCAGTCCTTGTAGCCCTTAAATGTTGCTACTGAACACTCCTGCAAACACGCCAGCTGGTTCAGGGAGGGTTAAGATCAAAGTCTCAGCAGTGGCTTAAGTTCTGAAAGTGTGAGTTCCTAAACTCTTCTGTTCCCTTTTGTGGTTCCTAATGTTACAAAATTTAGTGTTACTCTTGCTTTTAAATGCAAATACTACTGGCATTTAAATTTTTAATGTAAAATTTCTTTTCACTTTAGAAAAGTTTGTCTAAAACAAAATTCGTCCTCTCTAAAATAAGGTTTCCCTATAATTTATATGCATTTCCCAACACCTACCCCCTAACTCCCAAGGAAATTGATTTCTCCTTCTGTCATTTCTTTGTTTCTATTTGCATTGTTCTCTTGTTAAATGTTACTAATAGTATCACATGGATTCTTTAACTGGTGTTTCAAGTTAAAAGCAGAGCCATCAGTGATTATTAAAAAGACTGAACCAGATGACCTCCGACATATCCGACTCAGGCTGCTTCTCCGTGGTCTCTTGTCTTCCAATCTGGAGTAGATGGGGTGGGCATGGGAGTTAAGACCACGGCCATCTGAGTGTGGGAATTTGTCTGGTTAAGGACACTTGATTTGTCTGTTGTGGCTAATTATCCCGACCACTCTACCCTCTCTACACTATGGTATGATCCCAAGGATGCAGAACGAAGGTGAGTCTGTGACCTGAGGAAAGGGGAATACCAATTGCATTGAGGTATAACAAGAATAACAACAAGGATAGCTTTCATTTATTGAGTCTTTCTGTGTGCCAGGCTTTGGGCCAAATTCCAGACACACGTTATAAAGCCTAATCCTCCCAGCAGCACTGAGCGGTATGATGCCTTTTCAACAGATGAGGAAACATGGCCTTATGTTAAGAAGCTTGCCCAAGTTCACGCAAACAGTAGAAAATGAAGCAAGGATGCAAACCAAGCCTGTCTGATTCGAAAGCCTTGCTCTGGAACTGCTGTCCTGTGCTGCCAATGATCTTTATCTGGTTGGCAGTGGTGCTGGTAGATGTGAACAGATGTATGCGCTTTCAAGATGGAGAAAAGCGTTTGGGCGTAAATCCACAGTTTCAACTGCAGTGGAATCCTAATGTGGACAAAAGCCTCACATTTTATGGTACAGAACGGGAAGTTAGAGCCAAAAGATGGTGCAGGGATTGGAAAGCGAGCCTGAGTCTGGCACAGATCACTATCTTGATACATGCATCTGTGATGCATCATTTAACCTCTGAAGTCTTGATTTGTCTCCGTACACTAAAGGTTCAATTACCCATGTTAATGGAGGGAAGCCAGACGTGAATAACACTAAAGAAGCAGTAATCTAAGGAGCATTTCAGTAACAGTTTGCCATTTGTATGTGACTTATTTAGTATAGATTTATTTTCCTCAATCTGTTTGCTTAGTCATCCCAGAATGGTAATGGATCAGCTATCCCATGAGAAAAGATCAAAGTGGATTATCCATAGGGGAAGATTAGGCAGTTAATTCTAAGGGAAAAGCTTTTAAATTCATTTAAAAGGATAGTCTCAGACATGCTGACATGTTTTCTTTTTTTTTTCCTGTGAATTCATTTAGAACGTATGCTGTCAGGAGGATAAGAGATGCCTTCAGAGAAAATAAAAATGTGAAGGATCCTGTAGAAATTCAAACCCTAGTGAATAAAGCCAAAAGAGACCTTGGAATAATTCGTCGACAGGTAAGATGTTTCAATGATGGGCTGTTTTTCATTAAGAGCCTTAAGCTTTGACATATCCCCCTTGATTAGACATCACTGCTTTTGATGTTTGCGATTTACAGAGCAGGATCATGAAACTCTGTTCCTTTTACTGATACAGACAGAGAAAGATGAAGTCTCCTATAATCAAACTCAGGGAGAACATAAAGGAAAATATCAGCTTTCCATAATTTCCAGGGAATGCATCTTTCTGGGAAGCTGAGTTCTCATAGTTTACGAAGTGTTGATGCTTTAAGTATGAGACACTTGAGTATAACTTTTTTTAATCTAAGCCTTTGTAAGATGTATTGCATGTGTATACTTAGACATATTTTGAAGTATAAATATATCTTCACTTTCCTAGAATTTAATCATAATTCAGAATAAATAGAATGTTGCCCTTTCCTTGAAGAAACCATCATGGGTGATGAACCTGAATTATGTTGTCACATGGGAGGTACTCTACACGTTCAGATGGTAGAAAGCACAGCAGCTTAAGTGCTGACCCCATAAAGGACCCTGCAAGGTGTTTTGTTTTGATTTTGTGGAAGTTCCAGGGACCACCTTGACTTGTGCTTGCTGTCTTTCTCACGAGGTGGGTGGGGCGTGTGCAGCAGCATGGCCTCCGGGGTGGTCAGATGTGTCTGTTGTCCGCAAGAGTAATTAGAGCATCAAAGGCTAACGCAGCCTTCTATCGACTGGCTTTCTTGCTCTCTAATAATCACACTTTTTGCTGTTTTTCTTTGATTTAGCAACCCACACCATAAGCTCCATTTCTGCTTCCATTCATTTTTATCTCTTAATTGCAATAAATTTGTTTATAAAGGGTAAAGGGGAAAAAACCCCTTGCTAGTTTTATAAATTCTGTTCTAGGGTTTGGAAAGGGCTTCTTTAGTATCGTTAGGAGATGCCAGCCTGGCTGACGTGGCATCACAGTCTTTCCCTGATCCTTCAAGCCCATCTTTAAACAGAATTCAAAAAGGAAGCAATGTTCAAAACTGTAGTTTTCATTTTATGTCAAGATTAGAAGTCCTGTTATGTCGCCTACATAATGGAACAGTTCCTTCTAGAGGAACATTTCAGATTCTAATAACCATCCTTGAGCTCTACAGTTATCTAGCAATGGAATAACTTTGCCACATTGGGACAGGCCTACGAAATGATCTTTAAGTAAAGGCATGAGAAGGTGATAGGGTAGTCGGAAAAAGAACTTGATCTGCACGTTCGCACATGCTTTGAGAGTGGCAGATATCCGAGTTGACATTTTGGAAAGTCTAGAACGATGGCATTTTCCAGTCACCAGCGGTTGAATTTTATAGAATCCTTCAGCAGTGGAACTTAGAAAAACAAGCACCCTGAGTCCTTATTTTGCATAAACTCAGAAAGATTCGGTTCTTTGGCACTTTCTCTGTGTAGAGGTTGGCAAGCATCTCCAGAGCAGGCAGGTTTTGTCTTTAATGTAAAGTTATTCAGAGTATACGCCGCTTAGAAAAGGGACCTGTAAATCATGTCTGCCACCATTTCTTCTGTGATGTCTAATTGTCTGTGTCGCTTCTTGCTTTGAAATGCTAAAACTACCCTTTCAACAACAACAAAAAAGACTAGACTGGCCCTCATCCTTCAATCCTGCTTCCCGGTGAGTCCACACTCAAGACAGAGGCGAACGTCACTGAGCATTGGACGGTGTGCAGCGCGAGGGTGCCCTCCCCAGGACAGCCCAGCCACTGCACCTCCCTGATGGGGGGATGCAGGTTGCCTACTGTCAGGGCCAGGGTTTCCACAGTACCTCGTAGAGCTGCATGTTATCACTTCCTCAGAGGGGCCCTGACAAATGAAATTGTTCTGAGTCTGTCGGAAAGCTACGTACTCATATATGAGCATCTGGGAAATTTCTGCTCACTTCCCTTTCATATCAGGACTGTTCTTGAATCCACGTGCAGCATTTGCCGTGGTCAAAGTACGAGATGTGGTGACCCCTGAGCCACCGCTCTACAAGCTGGTATAAGTTGACTTTGGACTACATGTCTAAAATGAGGTGGAGGGCCTGTATTCCTCACACCGACTGCTGCACTGGCTGATGCAGTAGCCTTCTAACTTGCCCCACAGCCACCCCAGGGTCTATTCCCCACACACCACCGCCACAGTGATCTCTTCAAAAGAAAGAATCAGGCCGGGTGTGGTGGCTCGTGCCTGTATTCCTAGCGCTCTGGGAGGCCGAGTTGGGTGGATCGCTTGAGGCCAGGAGTTCGAGACTAACCTGAGCAAGAACGAGATCCCATCTTTAAAAAAAATTTAAAAATTAGCTGGGCATGGTGGTGCACATCTGTAGTCCCAGCTGTACAGGGGGCTGAGGCAAGAGGATCTCCTGAGCCCAGGAGTTTGAGGTTGCTGTGAGCTGTGACAAGGCCACTGCACTCTAGCCCAGGTGACAGAGTGAGACCCTGTCGAAAGAAAGAAAGAAAAGAATCAAATCAGGCTACTCCCTTGCTTAACACCCTCCAGGGGCTTCATAGCGCCCCGATTATAAAATCTGAAGTTTTTATGAGGTCCTCAGAGGCCTCCATTGCTCTCCTCTCCCTCACTCACACTATTCCGTTGACCTTCTTACTGCCCCAGTGCACACCCAGCTTGTTCCCATCTCAGAGCCTTTGCACCCTCTGCCTGGAGGAGCCCCTCCCCAGGTTTTCCTGTCACTCCCTTCCCCTTTCCAGCCTGGCCTGTGTTCAGATTTCACCTGCACTGCCTAGAACAGCCGCCCTCCCTCGCCCTGTCTTCATTTTTCTTACAGCACTTACCGGCACCTAAGATAACATTACTCCTTGCCTTGTCTATTTTCTCCCTCCTCTGTGACACAGAAGAGGCCACAAGGTTGTGATTCTTGCCTGGCCTGTCATCGTCACCTGGTGGGCAAGAATATGGGCTCTGGGGCCAGCCTGCCTGTGTTAGAGTCTGACTCAGCCTGCTAGCTAGTGAGCCTAAGCCAGATGGTAACTGCTCAGTGCCTGATGCAAACTGCACAGGAGTACAGCGTGGGTGCTGGTGCAGATCAAGTGGGCTAATACTTGCACAGCCCCTGGAGGGATGCTGCATACAGTCAGCATTATGCACATGCTTGTCGTTGTCATTATCCACAAGATCTAGAACAGCCCCACACAGAGTTGACTCCAAACAAGTTATTTGTTGACTGAACGAATGCAGGAAGAATTGTCCCCTGAGATCTACACCTCAGTCAAGGGGTCTAGACCATCAAAATATGGTGTCTTACTGGCCACCCAGAACCTCCCTCCTAAAGAAATGAACTATGAAAAGAAAACAGAAATCTGATGGGGATCTTGACATGTTACCCTCATGAGCTGCGATGCCCTTCGTATCAAGCTTCTCTTCCACTTGAGCATTTGTACCCAATCCCACCCCACCAGGGTGCACATGGTTCTCAGTGTCACATTTCCACGGATGACGAAGCCCATGGCCACTTTTCCAGCTGCCAGAAACACACACCATAAGGCAGCACTTCCGCTGAAATCCTCTAACCTCAAACGCACTTGCTTCCCCTGCTCTCTACTTGCTCTTCAGAGTGTGGCTTCCTCAGTCATGTCAATCAGCCGCGGTGCTAATGATACCCACCCGCCCCATAAGCCTCGTAAGATTTTTCAGATTTTAAAGGAAGTCACTGAACAAAAATGTTCTGTTTTTCTGGCTAGAGAAGCTGAGGTGCAGGAAATCTGGATGCCTGTCCAAGGCCACATGGCTGGACATGAGCTCAGGTCTTCTAATTCCCTAAGGCAAGCTCAGAAGTTCAAGGACATGAGCTTCTAAGTCAGCAGAAACTAAAGGATAAATCATCTCCCATTTTGTTCCCAAGATATTTAAGGACCACATAAACCTAGCTCAGCCTCTCCTCAGTGGTCATACACTCTTCCTTCACATCCTTAATGTGCAAGATGTGTAGTCTTCATTGTGACAACCCTGAAGGACCCTAGCTAACATCAGCATTTCTTGTTTTTTTTTTTTTTTTTGTGGGCACCATCATGCCGGCTAATTTTTTCCATTTTTGGTAGAGACAGGGTCTTGCTCTTGCTCAGGCTGGTCTTGAACTCCTGACCTCAAGTGATCCTCCATCCTCAGGCTCCCAGAGTGCTAGGATTACAGGTGTTAGGCACTGCACCCAGCCTACATCAGCATTTCTTATTAGCCTTCACACAGCTGCTAAGGGTCACTCTCATCTCAAGGAGAGGCAGATGGCTTTTCTTTCGTGATGAGCAAGTCAGCCTCCTTTCGCCCATTCTCCATGATTATGGCCCAGTCAATAAAAGTTAAACATACGCTTGTTCTTTCCTTACCATTCTTGGAGCACTCTCCCCCTGAAAATTATGATCCCGTCTGTCAGTCACAAATCTCTTTCCAGCAATATCCCTCATATCATATATCCCAGAACTAGGAGAGATACTCAGTAAACTGCCATTATTTTAGTGTAAGATAATTCTGAAAAGACAGATTGACCCTGGCAGCTCTTATGGATTCATCCTCTCTGTTGAAAGCAAGTTCTGGAGTAGCACCCACTAAATCTAGCTTCCCTGTCTGCTTCCCACGTGGGATCAGAAAGGTTGGAGAGGATTTTTGTGTCCATGCCAGCTGGAGCCAGAAAGGGGGGACAAAGCTGGGCTGTGTGCAGTCGGACAGACAGCTCTCGAACAATCTGGGCAGCAAGGAAGTGCGGAAGGATTTCCATGTCAGACAATAAGCAGGGCTTCTTTGGTGTTTCACATCAGAATGATAAGCAAGAAAGTCAGCCAGATTTTGCTTTCATCTTTGTTCTCTGTTCCATTTTGCTGTTCTAAAGGTAGTCCTTCTGATTCCTACCTGTAGGGCCCTAGCCAGGATAACTATCAGTTAACCGCTCTGTGTTTGCCGTGCCCCTTTGCTTTTTAAACAACCATAGGGGACCCTGTTTTGTGTCTGCTTCCTGTGCACCAGCACCTTGC